TACCAACATTCTAAATGTAATAATACTTGCTCTTGTGATCCACCAAATGGGACCACCAACTGGTGGTCAAGGCTAAATCTGTTTTTAATTAAAATTTATGCGATTAAATTATTATAAAATAAGTGTCTAAACAATTATTTTTTGTTAAAAAATTAATATATATGTATTTATGTGACACAAAATACAAAACCCTATCTACTATCTAGGTATTTATATATCAACGAGTCGTACAAATTACTACTCGTATTGTAATTAAATAATAGCAATTATGCAAACTAAAAATCTCATCTATCAGACATACAATTTTGAGATGTCTAATTTAGACTAACGATTGCAGTCTTATAGTTAGGAAGCTGGCGAGCAAAATTTATATATGACAGCACACATGGCAGACGTTATTAATAGTGATAATCATACCCTAAGAAACATGAAGGACCTCGTCTGCCACAACAAACACGTTGTGGTGTACACGTGTGTGTACAGCGTTTCAAAAACGTAAAAAAAAAGGTGGGTTATATTATGTGCACATGTCTGCCTCTGGGGCTGATGATCATAGTCATCCTGTAAACACAAAAAATCACCAATTCTAAATGCTCACCAGCTCCCTAACTATTAAGAGTAAATAAAATTATAAAAAGATAATTGAAAAAAAAAAGTAAATGGCAAATACAACCAGAAGCAAATTCTTTCACTCGGCTTAAATCAGTTGTTACTTTTAATAAATAAACAAAAATTAATTTCGAAACCAAGTTGATATCATATCATACGTAATTAGAATTGTGTAGTCGGTTAGAGATGAGAACTATTGTTAATTGTTAAAAACGTATTCTCATACTTATTCATAAAATAGACCTACTTAAAAGTGACCTACGGGTATTTTTAACTCCGTGAATGATTATTAAAAGTTATCTAATATATAAAATTCTCGCGTCACAATGTTCGTTCCCATACTCCTCCGAAACGGCTCAACCGATTCTTATGAAAGTGATAAGGGGTGTGTCCACTGTCCACCCCAAAATTGTTTTGTTTTATTTTTTTGAAATTTTTTTTTATGTTTATTTTTCGAAGATACAGCATGAAAAAATACATACAACTCCTAATTTTCACGCCTCTACGATCAACCCTTATTTTTTATTATAGTAGATAGTTATTTTTATTGAACTAAAAAAATGTTTCCTAGAAATAATATACCTACATGGCAAAACAACGTTTGCCGGGTCATGTATAAAATATAATTTTTGAAAATATATACTAGAACAATGAACCTAATACTTAAAAATACCTTACACGCAATTTGTTTGTAAAGAAACTTTAGGTCCTACGGCTGAAAACGTGTTTTATTTAATTTATTCAAGGCACTATAATACCTCAAGATATAAATGGCGTAAAACAACTAAAGTCATCAGCAAAATACATTTTAGTTGTGGAAAAGGACGCAATATTTCAAAAGCTACTCGACGAAGGGGCTTTAGTTAGATTATCTCCTGTTATAATTATTACGGTAAAAAAATATTTACTCAATATCTTAGTGTTTAAGAGGTCTTGTTGGAACACAATAGGCCGCTTTGTCTACGAAGCGAAGTACTGAATTATTATCAAGAAAAATGTGTCTGCCCCATTTACTATTAACCGACTATATCCTGAACTCCAAATTTTGAAGTTATTACTTACTTAATCCGGTGGCTTTGCAACCCAAAAAGTGCCTTGGCCTTCGAAATGAGAATCTTCCACCGCTCACTGTCCTGTTCTACCTCCCACCGATTGCTGACTTTCATCTGCAGCAGGTCCTCCACTCTGTCGATCCAGCGGTACCTAGGCCTACCTACTGGTTTCCGACCATTAGGCCGCCTTCCTTCACTGCTGTGAGTTTCATCGTCGGACGTCGAGGCAGAATACGAAATTCCACCCGTATCATCTCGACGTCCGCCGTTCCACAACTGAGCGTTTTAAGGCAGTTTTTGCCGCGCACCACCACTATGTGGATCCAGCTGCCCACTGAAGTATTTTCGAACCAATTCGACTTAGGGTCCTTCAAGAAAAGAGCGTACCAACTCTTTAAAGGCCGGCAATGTATTCGCGAGCCATCTGGCATTGTCCATGGGCGGCGGTGTCATTTAACATCAGGTGAGCCTCCTGCTCGTTTGCCCCCTGTTCTATAAAAAAAAATCTGGGCCTTTCAAGGCGCCCCAGCCAACGTAGTTCGCCTTGTATTAGTTTTTAATTAATTTCATATCCCAAGACAGTGACGCCAGTTCTGACTGTCCTCAGATATGAATAACTTTCTTATAAACTCACAAAACAACTTGTTATCTTCAAGGGTAAAGGATATCCTGATGTATGCACTCGACAATTGCTCTGTCTCCTTGTGTCTGAGTTAAAAATACCAGCTCTTGCCTTAGTTGACGCTGATCCGCACGGCTACGAGATATTTCTCACTTATAAATATGGATCACTGGTAATATTATTAACTATTTTTATAAATCATAAACATAGGACATATTGTCCCAAATCAAAGGGAGCGGAAAAATAAAGAATATTAAGTTACTATTAAAACGATTTGACTGTTTTGGTATGTTTTCTAGATAATACATTATAAATAGATTAATATTATAATTTATTTATGATGCTACTCACACTGAACGCTTAAGAGTTTATGTATTATAGATAAGTCATAAGCTTATAACTGGAGACATTAGGTTCGATTGCCGGCGAAAATATGATTGTTTAAAGGAATGATTACTTGACCGTTAAAAAATAAAACAGAAAAAAAAAATAATTACCAATATAATTTAAAAGTGAAATCACATCTTTAACAGGCACAATCTCACCTGTCCTCGAGCCTAGCATGTCCGAAATTATTATTACTCGGAGCCCGAATTCAGGATGTTTTAACATTAGCCCCAACCAGCAACAGACTCCCACTCAACACTAGAGACAAACGTAAACTCAACGCTTTGATAAAAAGACCATATCTTCATACTGTGATAGGTAAATATTTTTGAATCTATCTTAAATTTGGAATTTTAATTAAAATGTAAAGTTTTTTTACTATAACGCATATAGATTTTTTAATTCAATAAATAAGGGTCGTTTATTGAATTTAAAAAATTCTTACTAGGTAGGTATATTTTAGTCTTAAAAACGGCTTCGTGATTGTATTTTGTATTTCTCTTAACTTTTTAGTTTGTAAAGATTTTTGATTGTGTTATAGCATTTCAGGCTCTAAGGTTAAATCCCTTAGGTGTTTTCGTACTTAAATTATACAATTTATAAAAAAAGCAATAAAAAAAAATACTTATTCCTGGAAATTTAAATACACGCAATAAATATATTTACGCAAACGATATTTAAAATTACAATGGCATAAACAAAAAACACATTTAATTAATTTTTCAGGTTTTAAAATCAAGGAAGAGTTAATGTCAATGTTAGACTTCGAAATTAAGGCAGAGATAGAATCTTTGGCTTCATCGGCATCGGCTTTATGTGATTCATACCTTCCTTCGAAAATAATTCAAAGTGACTATTTGGGTTAACGTGAAAACAATTTGGATTAATTAAATATTTTTATTGTCTGTGTATCTATTGACATCACAAGCCAATGTGTGCTAGAGATTGTGAAAATTAAATAATAAAAATGTGTTAAACCGCGAGCTTCTTATTGAGATTTTGTTTTTAGTATATCGAAATAGTTGTGAGTTAAAATGTATTTGACTGGACTATAAATGCATCTACTCCACGCAAAGAATTTTACAGCCAGTTAAAAAAATAAGTATGAAGTATTTCTCATATTGTTCATTAATCCGTTTTAAATGAAAACCTAAGTGTATCAACCGATCTATTTTGTATTAAAACATATAATTCAGAAGCGACATCTATTATCGTGAAACGACTGTATGAATTGATAAAGTGCCATCTTTTGTCACAGCTTCTCGGTGCAATAGAGTAACTTTCTCGCTTAACTTTTAGTAATAGCCGTCTTACATAGATGGCGCTATTTTAAAATTAGTGTGTTTAAAATTCACTTTTTTTAAACCTTAAGTGAAATTAGGTATGGATGATGGTATGGATAAAGTAAAACTCACTATTATCTTAATAGAATATCTGGAATTCATATTGAGCATACGTCTTTAGCCAATCTCAAGTCATTTCCTCTCCGCTTGGTGCGCCTTCTATAGTAGCTATCAAGAACTACTTACTGGTCAAGAACGCGGGTGAAGCTTCACTATATCATTTAAGATGAACCAGGTAGCGCTTACCTGGATTCCAGTTGGTAGTAAAATAATATATAATATTTTTTTAAGGTAAAACTCTGTTTTATCGTTCCGTTACCAACATCCAGAATCCATATTGACTGTTGTGTTTGTCATCACCTTGAGTATAAACTGTCTATGATGATAGCATGTTTATTGACGCTTTAATACGTAACCAAAATATTAGGTTTATCAATTCAAAATCTCATCTTTTCATCTAAAGGTTCCAGCAACTCTAATCTATTTTCCAAGAATCTGATCTGTTAGATAAACTATTTATTGATACATTTAAAGTAATTGTGAAAATATATTCATATATTTATTTTTGAAAACTATACTTAGTTCCTTTTAGTTATCAGTTTCAATTTATTTTAGTATTATTAGAAAATACTACTGGTCTATTGGATTCTGGAAAGATTTCGATTGTCTTGACCACCAACTTAATTTTTCTTTAGGTAAAATAATTCTTATTATCGGTAAAATAGTTTAATACTCTTGCAACATTTGTGTAGATATACATTTTGTCATGAATCGCTAACCCTATATGTATTTCCTATGTTGTGACGCCTTTTGATGACACATTTAAAAAATAGATTTGACTTTTCAAGTTGCACAATACCAAAAGACAACAAACTAGATCAAGGACTCCATACTCTATATTTAATTTTTGGCTAAACGCCATAAACTACAATGACAGTTAAATTGAATGCAAAATTCTCAATTACGTAAAATTTAATTTCTTTTAAAATGCAGAATAACAAATCTGACGACAAACCGTCAATAAGTAAAGCAAAATCGTTTATTCCTGGACCTAAGAAACCACCGAACGATATCGGAAAACGTAAATCTTTCATTGCCAACGATGCGGTGAAGTCTTTAGACTTAGCTTTGGGACGATTAAAGAAGATGAAACTAGGGAATGGGGAGTACCTTTGCGCAAGTTCACATACGAGTCCAACAAGGCGAAGCACTGCGAATTTTTATATTGACAGTCTCACCAAAGGTAACATACCTAGCGAGGCGGAGACAGCTTCTATGATGTCCATGAATTTCTCCCACTACGAGTTAATGCGTAATCTTTCTCTATCAAATTGCAATTCAGACACATCATTCAGCACTACAACGCTTAATAATGGATCAGTTCTGGATACATCAAGAAATGAGCATTTAGAAAGGTATTTCCGGAGTGCTGAAATGTGGCGTCGAAACAAACGAGGCGGTCACGATAATTAAATAAAAACAACATGTGAACGATTATGAAAACTTTATTTGTCGAAAGGAATTTATTGAATAAACAAAATAATTTCAATAAATGAATTTCTATACAACACGGGAACTCTTACGAGACGATAAGATAAACACTGATTAACAATAACGTATCGAGATCTATTACATTCTTGGTCCATTGAAGAATACAATAATAGACCTTATGGAACTAAGATGAACGCTAGATTAACACAATGATAAATTACTAGATATTTTAATTTTGCCGAACTTCATACATCATTGTATTCTTTAATGTTAATCCCATCTAGTAACTAAGAAATACACATTCTAAAATTTCTATGCAGTACACTGGTTTTGTACATTCATCTGAGAACTTGGTAAAACGATATAGGTATCAGCACAAAATCTTTCAAAAAGATTATTATTACTGAATTTTTTATTATTGATATTTTCTGCATATGGAATCGTTCCGAACACAGAAAATTGTTTTTCGAAAGTTTTTGCACTGGTTTACGAAAATTCTTGGTAGTTCTATAGCGACCAATCGAAGGTTCCAATTATGAATACAGGTGATGTGTCATGAAAAATTTAAATAAAATAGAATCATGAGGAAATAATTGACATAGTCATCACATAGTTGCTATATTCCTGTCCAAAACGTTTGGAAGCATTTTAATTGGAAGACCAAGGGACCATTTAAAAGAGTTTGTGTTGTGACACATTTTCGCTTCCTATTTTTGTTTTCCAGTTGCATCCTTGGGTCTATAGTCAACTATCACACTTTGACAATCCTAACCCACTATATTTAATTAAACATTTGCTAATGAAATAATACAACACGATGTAAAATTTAAAGCACCCGGTTTCCAAACTCTCTCGTATTATATTATCTATAAATTTCATAGTTGTGTGATGTATATAGACCGTTTATATTGTCATTTTATGTGAATAAAGCAATATATGATAGAATTTCTTTATCTAAAATTATTTCAATACGATTCTAGACCTATTAAAAGAAGACTTTATTATCTAATATATTTTAATAGGTTAGTAAAATTACGCAATAGAAGAATCACAGCATCCTTAGACCATAACGGCAAAATAATATCGTCGACATATCGTATTAATTGTAAAATTTAGACCAAATTGGCAGTCTTCACAAACATGGAATGTACGATATGCGTCTATGAATTTACTCAATAACACTTAACAAATATTGGTAGACATATCTATACAACAACAACAAAGTACCTATTTAGTAATAATTTGATTGCCCAATCGTTCATTTCCTCCACAAATCAACTGATACTAACTAGAGAGAGAACTAAAACATTTAAATCAAGAAAATTAATGTATAATATAATCGAAACAAAAACGAATTATTCGTAACAATGATACCAATAAATACTTTTAATTTCATTTGAAGAGAAACATAGTCCAAAGGAGTATAAGTCTGTTATCGAGGAAATGAACGTATGGCAATAGTAATAATTAATATTATCTGCCGATTTAACAACATCTATCATTGACTTCTACGTAGCTTTTGTATCGGCACTTACTAGTTTAATGTGGGCTTAAAACGATGATATTTACAAATAAGGATGACAAGTTATGCAATTAATTCGAACGATGTGGGTAGTCTCCAAATTTTTAAAGTCTTGGATATTCGTATGTAACACTGAAATCTAGCTTAGATCACGGCCCTAGGTTATCTACAAAAAAATTAAGTGTACAAGTGACGGGAGTTGAGTTCCAAAAGCTTGATACGGTTTCAAGAGAAAGGTTTAAGTTGCATTTTTGCACTTTTGTTTAACTTATGAGCATTTGCGTCAGACTATACCCACATTCAAAAGTACTCAGTACAGAAATTTTGGAAGAATTGTTCATAATCATATTTCTTACTGATATAAGCAAATTTCGCATTTAATATTTCGTTTAACAAAAACATATGAAACACTCGACTTGGTAGTTGGTAATTATCGTTCAGCCAAGTCTTATGGGAGCATGATTCAAGGTCACTTTCATGTAAATTATACAATAAATTCTTAATTATGAAGAAAATCCTGTCAATCTTCCAACATTACTAATCAGTAGCTACTATTGTTTCTAGGACTAGCATTAATTTAAACATTTCTAGTATTCCCTAAATGGTAAGCTCTTTATTAATTTGTGATTGTATTAATTACAAATTTAACAATATGTAACAAAAAACTTTAATTTTTAAGGCGAAATAAATGATTTTTTGTTTTACAGTAGACCCTTCTTAGGTGAGAAACACGTTTTAAATATGAATATTTCTAATGATCAGCTGACAGGTAAAGCTATCAGATTGACCTTTGAGAGGTCAATGACCCCAAGTTTATTAAACTTCGAGCTAGCTTCAAATACAGAAGTTTCTGTTACATATTGTATATCAAGGTAAATCAGAATTAATAACGTGGTAATATAACGAGCCACAGAATAATCAGAGATTATTTTTTGTGTTAATTATAACGGGGTTCGTTTAATTAAAGAAATAAACATCTATATATGGGTATAAGAGCGAATTTATTACATAGCTCAATTTAATAAAATAAAATAGTTATTTCTCAACTTGAGGTGATACAAATCGGACCAAATTGTTTCCTGATAAAGAAGTTTTATTTAAATTGTTTATTTTGTACAGAATAATTAGTATTTTTCCACATCTCTCAAGCAAAAGCTCTGATTATTCGTGGCTCAAGTTAGCGCTCTTAAAGTAGAAAGTGTAGAAATCCCTATTTGCCGAAAATTTGTAGAAAATGGAGAGTAAAGCCTAAGTGAGAAGCTCGAGATGCTACATGCATAAATATGATCACAAGTTTATCAAAAGAGCTCTTAAATACAACAAGAAAACGTCGACATTTTATTTATAGGATAAGGTTCATAGCTTCTAGTAATTTGACGATAAGACTTCCATGTATTGGGAGGAATTCGTTGGATTTCAGATTTTTATTAAGACTTAGGAATATTATGAATATTGATGGAAAATAATATTTTTAATCTGAATTTATTTTGTTGTGTTGTAATTTTTAATCCAATATTTTATTTCTTAAACATGAAAAGGATTTATTATCATTTCAATCAGTATCTAATAATTTTATAATCAAATGCAAACTCGATATTGTATTGTTCGCTAAATACCAAAGTACACTATGTGTCCGACAACGCAAGCTAAAGGTACACAGTACTGAATTTCCCAAACATGTATTACTCGATTTCTAATATACAAAGCTAGTTTAGTACGTATTAAGTCACCCAACAGCAATTTAACTATATCTAATCACAATTAGCCTTCACCATACTTTTAAATTTAAATAATAAACGACCGCTTCAAGCAATATACATATTTACAAATAAGGTAATTGATAAGTAAAATTTATTGATGAGAATTGCAAAAATGACAGCGAAAATATTTTATTATAATCAAATTAATTTTGCAATACAGTAACTAAATTTGTAATACCATAAATACATTTTTAATTCAATAACCAAATGTGTAATACAATAACTGAATTTGTAATACAATAAGTAAATTTGTAATACAATAAGTAAATTTGTAATACAATAAGTAAATTTGTAATATAATAACTAAATTTGTAATTTAATAAGTAAATTTTTAATACAATAACTAAATTGTTAAACAATAATCTTTGATTCAATAACTAAATTTGTAAGAACTACAATTGTAAAGCAATGACTAAATTCGTAATATAAACTCAGAATGATTTTTAAGTTTTTCAACTGTATTACCGTTTTTACCTGGCAGTCTTTATCTATCGGGAGGAGGCAGCTTGGTGTCTTCCGGGTCCAGAGAGAGGCACTCGCGAAGATAGTCTTCCATCGACCGATACACGTGCTCTATGACGCCTTTGAGGTCGTGCCCTTCGTCTGCGTATACCTGAAGTGATTTATGAACATGTAGAATATATAAACTGTTTGATGTATTAAAAGTTTATGGCCTCAATGCTGCCATTTGGAACAATATTATGATTGTTAGAGGGAAGGGTGTAATAATAAATAAATCAGTGGCGCTACAACCTTTAGGTCTTGGCCTCAGATTTCTGAATCTGTTTCATGATCATTTTTTAAATCTAATAGGCAAGTACGTGATCAGCCTCCAGGGCCTGACACACGCCTTTTTGGGTATAAGACATGTCGGTTTCGTCACGATGTTTTCCTTCACCGTTCGAGCAAATGTTAAATGCGCACATAGAAAGAAAGTCCATTGTGCACAGCCGGGGATCAAACCTACGACCTCAGGGATGAGAGTCGCACGCTGAAGCTACTAGACCAACACTGCTCGGGAAGGGTGTAAAGAATTTTTAATTTCAAATAGTTGGTAATACAATTTTTTTGTAGTTTGAGTTTAAGTAAGTCTAAGATTTAATTGCTTTTGCTGCACATAAATAAATATTTTGAGACATTTTTGAATAAAAAACAATAAACGTTATTTAATTTTCTAGTGTATATAATAATATGAAGCATCAAAAATCAAACGATCAATTAGGTCAAACACCAAATACAGACGTCAGGGATATGATGGGGTACCTGATAACGGAACAGCACGCCGGCGTCGGTGAGAGCGCGCGCGAGCTGCAGCGCGTGCGGATAGGGCGCGCTCATATCGGCCAAGCCGTGCACGAGGTACAAGGCGTGCGGGGGCACGTGATGCGCGCGTTGGGACGCGTCTGCCTCCACGTAGCCTTTGTAGTTCACTGAAGGCTGGCCGAGCACTCGCTCCGTAAAAGCTGAGTCTGTGGATAGTACATGTTATTAATTATATGATTTTTTTACAATTTCTTTTATGGTTATATTTCACTTCCTAAAAAAAGGCTATTGTACAAGATTGGATAAACCATTTCAGATTATTTATTAGTAACTCTATAACCTACAAATAGTTTTTTTGAATTCTGTTAAGCTTGACTTTAATAATTCAACTTTTTGAAGTGTTAACTCTTTATGGGAGGGTAAACCGCTTCGTTACG